CCCTCCCCTCAGAATAAGCAAATTTCATTGACATTGATCTCGCACCTTTGATACAAGATGACTGAAGAATGTTATGTGAATGTCCTGCTGTTTATTGTATCTCTGTAGTGATTTGCAAGCAACTTGGCGCTCTGAACTCCCATCCTGTGGTGAAGATACCATTGATATAGTTTTTTTACCATGGTAGCTCTGAAGTATAAGAAAATGGGGAGTCAACCTATCGCTGCAACATGCTGAAAAACAAGCAGCAGCTATAGTTGTCAGGAAATTAGACAAATTTTAATCTGGATCTTCAATATTGTTGTTATTCCTAAATTTGTTCCTATATTGAAAGTTTGCTGTATGTATAAAGATAACCAGCTAGATTTTCTCCCTATGGGGAGAAGTATCCTGAAATGTACTCATGAGTGTAAGCCAGTTATTTCCATGATAAAATTGTATTTATTATTTTTTCTGCTTCAGTGGCATCATATTGTTCCTTCTTTCCATTCTTCCAGCTGACAGCTGATCTATCCTTCAATATATTCACCACCATTGGCTCAATGATCTTGGTCTTGTTGCTGATCTTTCTTCTGGTAGTCATAATTTCCATCATTACTGCCAATAAACGTGCCACCCAAGGGACTTACAGCCCCAGTCGCCAAGAGAAGGAGGGATCCCGGGTTGAAATGTGGAACATGGTGCAACCTCCTCCCTTGGAAAGACTGATCTAACTGAAATTAATAATGATCTTCTCAATCGATAACATAAAACAAAAAGATTGTTTTGGATACCACCGTAGAAGCCTATAAGACCATAAGGATTTCTGCCATTAAACTCAGAAACCTTGCTTATTAATCAAAGGAGGCTTCAAGATTGCATGAGACTTTTCAGCTTTGCCTTTCTAGTGGTAGCCTTTTGCACATTCAGTGCCTGTGGAAGGAAGAGAACATTTTTTAAAAAGCCAAACTCTCCCTCTGTCCTTGCTTGCACAGGAAAGCACTTTGGCATGCAAGACTTCATTCTGGAAAACATTCATGATAAAAGTGGCTGGATGCCATATCTCATTTTATGGAAATTGTTATTCATTGCGTTGAACATTATATATAGACTACAATCAACTTTAGACTGTAATGGTTCCTGGGATCTGTGTTAAGTGCCTGCATTTCAGATGTGACTGAAAGCCACTTGTTTGGGTCACTTTCCCTTCTGACCATCACTGCAGAAGAATGTTGTCACACAATGATCCATGTACACTCCTTGTCCTTCACTTACTTCTATACAGAGTCTTTAGAAGTAATGGTGTTTCTCTGCAGTACATCAACTTAAATTCTTTAAACAGGAATTAAATCAACATTATGGGAAAAAGCTCTTCTTGCAGCAAAATAAAACTTTGAAACCATTCTTCTCTTTGGAGTGTGTTTGTCATCTTAAAGACTTGTAGACTTAGAGCACAGATGCATAACCCTATAAAACTACCAGCATTTTCAAACTGAGCAGAGATAAATTTAAATGGCTAGGAGAAGAACTAAGAATGCAAGGCAGCGTGCAGATGTGTATGTGTGGTGCATGGCTGTGCATATGCATGTAAGACACAGAGATGTTCAAGCTATTTATTTTTAGTGTACAAAATTCAGCAAGGCTTTGTTCATCAAGAACATGCTCTTGCCTTATTTTAAAAAAATAAAAAATTCCAGTGGGAATTTTTTTTTGCATTTTAGGATTAGACCAAAACTTTATTAATTTATTACATCATTTAAATCCATGGGAAACAGTAGAAGTTTGCTTCAATGTAGTTGTTTTCATTTGGATTTTATTAGGAAATAATTTGTGCCCTTGCAAATTCCATGTTTCAGCAATTCATCCGATATTATCAAACAGAAACAAGACCGACAGGTCCTAAACCTCAAATTGTCTTTTAGACTGCAGTACATTTACCTGAACCTCCATTTGGTTCTCCAGCTCTTGGAGACAGGATTCAGAGCCCTACATTTTCTCTTCCTCAGTACATAACTGGCCTTTCAAGTATTTCCTGTAATTTCCTATAACTTTAATATCCACTAGCATGTTTTACTATGAAATGCAGATTAGTTGGGTCCCATCAAAATCCCCTTTTGTCCTGGGCCAATTCTTTTTATTGTTGTTAAAAGTTAATTAGTTGAACAACAACAACAACAACAACAACAAAAACACTTCTAGGTGTGATGTTTATGAATAACACGAATGGACCTGTTGACTCCTACATGTTGTCAGCTTTGGAAGCCATATTAACACCAGAAGCTTCCACACTGCCAACTTCTTGGGCTTGGGAAAGTAGGAGTGACGATTCAGGAGAGTGATTGTAGTTAGACATAATAGCATTCTTCCCTTCGGTCAAGGTCATGGTGTTTCTATATCTGGAGGAGAAGTGGTTGCAGTGATGGCTCAGGTTGGGATGGATGATGATTGGACCATGTGACAGACTGATGGGTGAAGGGGCTGGATTTCGTATTTTGATTTACTGAGGGAAAACCCAGAACTCTCAGATTTGGGTTTTCCCAGATGTGCCAGTATACCTACTCTAATAAATGGAACTTTGAAAAATGCTTGCCTCTGAGTTTTTAATTGGAGTTGGGGCTTTCTGGAACGTTGACCCATGTAACTAAACTGCCACACATCCAGTAGAATTGGGGGAAAACATGCTTGTTTTGCTACAGCCCACTTCAGAAATCATTCCTGTACACCTATAAGCCACTGAATGCCAAGAAACCACCATGCATTCATGTGAGAACTAGTCCCAAATTCATTGACTGTCTAATTTACAGATTAAAGAATCACCAGCTCTTTTAGGTAGATCAGACCATGCAATCAACTCCTCAAGGTATCTTAAATTACTTTTATTGAGATTGGTTATAATAACAGGATGTTGAAAATCTGATTCAACTTTACCTTCTTCCCTTTCTTATAGTTTAGTGAATTAGGGAAGTATCTGGTTGAGCCACTTTCGAACAATATATTGTTATGGATTTCAAAATGTTTCTATCCCTTTGGCCTAAGCAACAGCTCCTTCGTATCTCCATCAAAGGCATTTTCCTTACTCCCTACAAGAAACCATGTGCCTGTACTTGCCAAGGCCTGTATTTTTTAAGGCACAGAATCTGTGCTCATTGGTGGATTTCATGCAAAATTTGTAAGAAAGCCAACAACCCCTGGGGATTTAAAGCTTTAAAGATTCTGCTTCTGGCAATTTTTCTCCCCCCCCCCCCATCCAATCCCCCAACTTCCCATGCTCAGATGATGGAAAAACCACAGTCTCCCCTTAGCTTTCCTTGCATACCAGGAAATCCACATCATAACTGGAAGCACTACTATGGTTTTTATGTACATGAGAAGATTTGGGGTGGGGGTATTTTTACTTGTCGCATTCAATCCAAACTCAAATTCAAATTCCAGGATCTGATAAGTGTTATTTTTCCTGTTATGATCATGATGATGATAAAAACACAGGGAATCCAGAATGGAAAATTCTCCCTTCAGGTCTTTAGAAGTTGTGTTTAAATTCCTGGCAACAGCAGAATATGGATTGGTTTGGGATTATACAAGGTCGAGGAACAGCTTCAAAGTAGTCATATTTAATACTATATTTCTAAAAGTATGGATACATAAATCTATCGGTTTATTGCTGTTATTAAATTATTGGTGTTGTTGGTGCTATTATTTGTACTACTGTTTGATTGCTGTAAATTACTGTGGGCATATTTTACCAAAGAATTTCAAATGGGAGAATTGAATGTCATCCAAGCTGAAAGTGCTTAAATTCTTTGGTTGTATCATGCTGGATTTTACATCTCTTTTATTTCCGTTTTACAAATGCACTTAATTCTCATTAATACAGAAGCAATGAATTAGAAAAGGGAGTTGACCGAAAGTTACAATTTTTTAGGTGCAGCTCCAGAAAGTTTGATTCTGACTAGTAAAAGATTCTGGTATTTGACAGACTCTAATAAGCCTTTTATTATATATTTGATCTCAATTCCTTTGTGAATATTCTATGCAGCCAAATTTTGAGAATCACAACAGATTGTTTAAAAAATAAGACATGTTTTAGCAGTATACTTCAATAAAAAATATAGAATACATCTAGTGGAGGAAAGGACTGCACAAGTTTGACAACATCTCTGATCTTGGCAAGAGGAACTTGAAAGGCATTTCTATCCTTATAGTATTTATACATTTCCATATTTTTTATCTGCACACATGCATACACAGGATAAAAGCTGGAGATGAGGATGCTTCCCATTGTAACTGTCAGACTAGAACTATGATTAAATGGAGGTGATTTATCTTTCTCTCAGAAGACTGCCCAATGAGCAGAACTGCTAACCTGGATTTGGCAGCTTGGATGGGGCTTCTAATGGTGGGCAGCTAGCTGCTCCTGTCATTTGTTTCCAGTGAATAGCTATTGTTTGAATTCTGTGCTGGCCAGATTGTATGCCATGCCGACTTCATGTCAAATTCCATTTGTATACGTTATGTCTTCTGGATGTGTTGCCATCTTGCTTAAACTAGGCTATATCCACAGACATGCCATTCTCCCGTTGACAAGACCGAAAGTGATGGAGTTAACTTTCAACATTTCATAATCTCATGTTCTTTAACACGCATCGCAGAAATCTTTAAAGGTTCAGGAACACACAGGAGTTGGCTATTCAGACAGTGAGAGTACTGAAAGGTTTTCATTGTGGAGAAATGATTTGCTAGAAACCCTTTTTCTTATTCCTCAACTGTAACTAGGAAACTGTATATTTAGAGTCCATTTCTATTCTGTACGGGAGTTCCATAGTCAAGGCATTCTTTATATACTGTATATTCTATTCTTCCACTTGATATGATTAGTAAAATGTGCACAACTGCAAGCTCATTTTGATTTATATATATTGAGAACCACATTAAATATCACAGAACAATGTTCCTGTTTTCAACCTGTTGACTTTGTGTATAGAGTTCCAAGCAATATGAAAGAAAACTACTATATTTCACCATTGTTGACATTTGCTGTTTTTTTATTTGTTTTATATTACACAAGTGGGGCACTTTATGGCAATGTGAAGTCCATCAAATACTTTGTATTAACATTATCCCAAAGGGTCAACTTAAAGTGCATACAGAGGTGCTACTAATAATAAAAAAAAAGTTCCAGTTTTCATCCTCCAAGAGCAGCATATTATACTTTTTCAGAGCCAGGATCCATTCCTAACACCAATTTATAATGCAGCTGATTTTTATCTAGTAATTTTACCTATATATGCCCATTTCAAAGCTGCTTTTTAGCCGATCAGATTGTTGATCTATTATAGTTTCATTTTTGTTTATACTGATGGGAAATAGCTCTTCTGGATTTGAGGCAGGAATCTTTTTTCAACCTTTCTTGGATTGAGATTTAACTTCTTGCATGCACAACCTGTCTGCTAAGTTCAAACAATGTGTCTTTCTTCATCTTCTTCTTTTTAAGAGCCAGGAGGCCTGGTTCCTATCCATCCTGCAGACAACATCATTGGCAAGAGACATTTTTGGACAGCAAGTGAAGAGAAGAATTAAAAAAAGGTTCCTATTCATAAAGTAGTGGGTATGGCACATGACAAAACTCTCATTTACAAGAATGTCATCGGCCTCCCAGAATGCTCCCTGCAATTACACTAGGAAGTTTGTGGACCCAAAGGCATTGATGCAAAGAAATTGCTAGAGGCTGATGTTTGCCTTATATCTGCATCAAAGGGAACTTTTTGGAAGATATTGGATATGTTGAATTTCTCCTTTTTTTCGAAACTTGTTTAGCAGTAAAAAAAAATAAATCTGTCCCTTTTTGTGATTGGCTACACTATTCTTCATTTTCTTTTTGCAACATTTTTATTTCTCTATATATAACTGGTGCAACCAATACTGGTTTCATGAATAATACAATTCTAGTCCCTTTTCAAATAGTTCTATATTGGTAGAAGAGAAGTAGAAACACATTCTGGGGCAAATCACCCTGGATTTTGTTGCTTAGTTTGCAACATTCATAACATAATTTTAAAAAGGATTTCTGCAACTCTGAAATTTTGTTTTTTAAATAATAAACCAGGCACTGAACGATTTGCTCTGTTCAGATGAATTTTTTCTGTATTCTCTTCTTCAAGACAAATGGTCATAAATATATAATTGTGTTGCATTAATGAAATTATGTACACAGTGTAACGTAAATAAAGTACGCTCTTGAACCACAACTATTGCAATACAGAGAATGTGGTATGTAACACTAAATTCATCACAGTGCTTATCTGCTACTTGCAATCAGGACTAGATTACACAGTGCTTCAATTAACTCAAGTAAATCAATTCAAAGTAGTTCTTGATCAACGTTTAGCCATGGGAAGAAAATGTACAAGAAATATACAAAAGTTAACCAAATAAACAATCCAAATGTAAGGGCAACATGTATTGAAACAAGCAATCATTTATCACAACCAGAGATGTCATACCATGGATCATAAAAATTATACATATTGACCATTCATTGCCATCTGGTATCAATTGTAAGAAGCAGCTATTTATTTGCATGGTGAAGAAACAGTGGGACAGACAGGATCAGCAATTACAAGTAAATTAACAGAAATCTCACTCTGTTGTGTATTTATAATGTAATGTGGGCAATACAGGTATTACTAGCTATAAGTGTCTGAGGTCTACTAAATAACTGGCAAAATTTTAGATTTGTATTATAACACAATAACAGGATGTCCCTATTCAATTTCAATTGACTAAAAGCTATTTGCCCACTGACAATGTACTGTACGTCTTTTAACTATACAACTGTAATGAGATGCTACACACAATTTAACACAATTTTGAAACAAAAACTAGAAATATACTAGGGTGAAAAGCAATCTCAAAGACCTACTGAGAAAGCAACAGGTGCTTCTAATTGTCAAAACATACATGCACACACACAAATATAAGGAAAAATATTGCACAAAATTCAACACTTCTTTAATCCAACACTTTCCCACATCCTAGTTGATGCTTTACTTAGATCTGAGATGGGATGAAGGCAGAGCTGAGAGAAGCCATTTAAAAAGTGTTTCAGTTTGAAAGTTTATATTAACTTCTCTCTCTTCTCCCCTCCCATTAATACTGATTCTATATTCATGCCTTGCTACATATGGTGCAGTTAATAGCAGGACCCATATTTTTACTAAGCCTGCCCCAATGTCAGTAAGTAGCAAATATTTAACATTAAAATAATGTTTTTCCTGAAACATTATTTCAGATCCTTGAGAAAAACAAACTATTTGGATATTCTGAATTCCTATTGCTCAGTATTTATGGAGATTCTCAGTTATCCAGGTCATGGTTGTCCCAAAAGTTCTTTTTCAAAAGTCAACTGTACTTTGTTTTTCCCAAAACAAAGTCCAGTTACCTTTTGAAAAAGAACTTTTGGGTCTATTGCTCAGAAATTTTGTGATACTGGACATAAATGAGGCGCTTAAGCACATTTACTTAGTTGGATCCCTTACACAGAAGCAACACCGCTATAAGATAAAAGGATGAGAGAATATCAGTGGCCGACACAGAGTGCAGTTAAGTATGGTTGGATGGCACCAGACACATTCAACTCTTGGGAACACAATCCAGCAAGATGATGTCTTGCATGAAGCTACTTGAAATAAGTGTGGAAGAGGGAATAATTATGCAATTTATCTCTTATTCCCAGATTGAAAGAGTTATGAGACCTTGGGCAGAAGGAAGCACCACTGGAATTTACTTTCACAGGCAGCCAAATTTTAAGTTCATGTAAGGCATGAAAACTTCAGCTTTTGTTTGCTTGAAGAGGAAAAGAAATGGCTCCTAGTAACACCAAATTATCTTAAAATGAAGAGGAAAAAGTGCTAAAACAAGAAATCTAAGATTGTTGGGGGAGAAACCGGAAGCATCGCGGCAAAGCTGGCTGGAAAATAGCGGGCTCCAACAAGCTCCGCAAAAATCCAGCCGGACAAACTGCTGTCAAGGGAGTCTTCGGACCAGAACCGTCCTGTAGGGACGGTGAAGAAGGAGAGCTGCCTCTGACGACCAAGAGGAACAGGCAAGTTCCTAGAAAGGTCAGAGGCAGCTCTTCGAACTAGCGGCGGGGGTGGCGGCCATTTAAAAATGACCACTCTGAAGCTGGGGCAACCAGAATAAGATTTTTGTACAGGAACGGTGTTTGAAAGGAGTGCTGGCCAACTCACAGGTAAAAAAAGGAAATTAAAAAAAAACTTTAAAGGTGTCCCGGAGAGGAAATGAGTGGCTAATTGGGAATTTTAATGGAGGAAGAAGAACAAAGAGGAAATTAAAATATTAAAGCCCAAGAAATTTTATAACGACTTAAAACTGATCTTGGAGAAACTAAAAATAATAAAAGGAAAAGAAATCCGAGGGAAAGTATTTTCTATGTGGATTTAAAATACTTTTGTAAGCTTGATACTTTGTTGTTCTGAGAACATTGTGGATTGGAGAGAGACATCTGCTAGTGGAAATAAAGCATTACAAGACTGGAATGAAAATTGAAGAAAATAATAGCAGTGACCTTGACTACTAAAAGAAACTGTGAGAACTTTTAAGGAGTATTTCTTTTGTTTTTTTTAAAATTGCTTGGTCTCAACTTTCAACAGAAGTGGAAAATAACAAAGCTTTAAATTGGAGTGGATTGGACAAACATTTAAACTGGATATTATCTGGAAATAAAAAAGAGACTATATGGACTTTAAAATCTTAATTAAATATAAGATAAATATTAACAATTTTTTAAATTGACAATATGGAGTCTTGGATGTGTGAGGAATTAATTGAGATGTTTAAAAACATGCGTGAATCAGTAAAGGGCAACAAAAAGTCAGAAATTTGGCTAGAACACACAAAACAGGAAAAAGAGACTATAAATGAGAAGCAAGAAAATAATACTGAAGGAAAAGGAATTGAATGTAAAAAGTTAGATGTTTACACTGGGATTTACAGTGGCAAAAAAAGAGAAGACAGGGGGAAATATCCCCCCAAAAAAGAATCAATCAAAGGGAAGAGAAGGAAATGGAAAAAAATTAGAAAAAAGCTTGGGGAGAATTATGCAAGTAATAGACCCAAAAGTTAGAAAAAGGATTCAGGAGAAAAGATAAAATAAAGGAAAAGAAAAAGTTAAGAGAATGGGATGAAAGGAACAAATTATTAAGAAATGGAATTTTGTAGAGACCAAGAGAAAATGGTTAAAAGGGGAAGAATAGTGGAAAAGGAGGAAGGGAAATAAGGTATATATTAGTAGATCTAAGGGAACTGTATTAATATTATTAATTGTGAATGTAAGAAGCTAATATGATGATGTAAATTGTTTATTGTAAAACAGAACAGCAGATGAAATATGAAGTGGCAATTTGGTTCAATTATGAAAATAATTGAAATCAAGAGACTAAATTGAAATGGTAACAAGTGCAATGGAGATTTTGAAAAAACATGTTGTAAATGATGAAATAAAATAATGAATTGATGCTACAGTAAGAAATCAGGAATTAAAGGTGGATAGTGATATTGCTTATTATGTACTAAGAAGAGATTAAGATAAAATGTGGAAGGTTAATTAAGTTAAAGGGTTTCAATGTAAGAATTGAATATAATGAAGCACATTGTTTATAGACAAAAAGTATGATGGGAATTCTTAGAAATATATTTTATAAGTGCAGAAATAAGATAATTGATGTTATGCTAAGAAACTAGGAATTGAAGGTCAGATGGTGATATTGTTTATATATTATGTATTAAGAAGAGATTAGAAGTAGGGAAAAAGAATATTATGGCTGAAACTGAAATATGTAAATTGTATTAGGAAAAAACAAAAAGGAAGATTGGAATAGACTATAAAAATCAATATATAACTATGTTACAAGATGTACAAGACCAGGTCAATACTCTGTTCATAAAATATGTATGCAAAAGAAAAATTTAATAAAACTTCTTTTAAAAAAGAAATCTAAGATTGTTTACCTTCCTGCGGGTGTGAGTTTAAGGAGCTTGGCAGTGATGTGTTCCTTTGAATTCAGAACAGGGTTTATTGTTGTCTAGGAAGTGAGAGCTTTAAAATTGTTAACTTTTTCTTTGGACAAAGTGAACAGTACACCTATCAAAGCCAACCAATGTCTTGTTTGTGAATTAAAGCCTGATCTAGTTTTCCTCAAGGCTGTGTCCTCCAGACATAAGGGAATACAACTCTGACCATCCCCAGCCATCATGGGGCAGTTGTCTGCATGTATACTGTAGTCCTTACATTTCCTATAGTAACAAATTAGGAAGACGGTCACACTTCTTATTCCTTTTTCCCCTTGAATTATACCAAGGATTGGCAGCAAGGTACCCTGAATTGGTGCCTACAAAACCCCAACATTAAAAAAAAATGGTAACATCTTCACAGAGAAGAATGTGTAGAGATAACAATGCTGAACCCATGTGAGGTTTGGCAATTTTGTAAAGTTTGACTTTTTTAAAAAGGTTTTTTTTTAAAGGTTTTTATGTCTCTTATTGAAAAGACTGACTTCAAAATTACATTCTATCAGAGCACAAAAGTTTCATGTTAACAGTGGCATCTACACTGTTGCTATATTGAAGCAAAGATACGTAAGAAAAAGCTCCCAATGACATAAATACTTTTCTAATTCTTTAGCTAAGTAGGAGCCTGGACTCACTTATGAAATGAATACTAATATTAGGAAGAGATTACAGAAACGGACACATACTTCTCACCCAACTGGCAACTAACATTACTATTTTTCATTCCCTGCTCAATACAGCCTATAAGATATACTAGTAAACTATGGGCAGGATGAATAAAAGGGGATATTTGTTTTGTTTTATATAATTTATCTAATGAAACCTAAGTATAATGATTTAAGCACTGCTAAAACAATGTTAACAGATCTTTTGATGGATTTATCTAGTCTAGCTATGAAAATTAAAATTTTCAAAGGTGCTCATCAGTGCAAGCCGTCTATTCAATCAATTGGAAAATCACTGTTGACATCTTTGAGAGCAAAGTTAGCCAGTACTGACAGTTTTTGATAAACTAACTCACAGCAATCAAAAAGTAGTAATATCACTTTTTGAAATGCTAGGGAAATATTTAAAAAGTCAGTTTGGAAAAAAAAACGACTGCCTTTTTCACTATTCTACTATTCATCAAAGTGGGTCTCATTACAACACATTACTCCATGTAATTCTCTATGCATAGAGGTACCTGAAAAAATATCTTTCTAGTTTAAGCAATTTTAATTTCTGCAATGTAGCAAAAGTCGATCAGGGCATAGGATGGTTATTTAAGGGTTTGGAAAGTGATAGCAAAGCAATCTCTTATCCATTAGATGCATAACCAACTCTGAACTAAAGTAGTTGATTTTTCAAAATAATCTTTTCCATTCTTGGAAAGACATTAGTTAAGGAAAGCTGTTGGTGCAATTATTCTATATGCTGCCTGGGCCTTTTGATTTGGGGATAGGATAAAGGTTTAAACAGATTTCCCTTTTACATATCTGATAAAATCCATGGTGGGTATAAAGCAACTAAAAGTGATTTTATATCATCTATTAAAAATAAATTTGAATAGCCAGCTAATCACCTGACTGAACAATGCATTATTTGTTCTAAATATGAATAAGCCATCTATTGACCTCCAGATGTTATGAACTACATCTCCTTTGACTTTCCCACTAGCCATGCCAGCTGGTCTGATGGGAGCTGAAGTCCCAGACAACACTAGGCTGTCTATTTGCATTCTAGACTGACTAATGGTATTGAATAAATAAGCTAAATTTCAGTAAAATAATCCAATATTTTATAGAAAGAATCACATGATCAATAGACATAATTGCTGGGATTCCTGAGAAATATTTTTTAAAATATTTGTTTAAAAAAACACACCATATTAAAAACAGTAATTTAAATTTCCCCAAAACAGCGAATAAAAAATAGGTAAAACGATATATGGGAACTGTAATATTTCTGTCACTATAGAAATATTATTTATGTGGCCTATACAGAGAATTTTAGGACAATAACTGGTGGCAAACAGAGTAGTTGCTAGCTGAAAGTTTACTCTGATCCTTTGGAAATACTTTGTCCTTTTGTTAATAATAAAAAGAGTTGGCAAGTATCGCAGCACACATTTTTAAGGCACAATTGTTACCCTTGGAACAAATGACAACTATAATAAAATCTGGCATAGGAGTAAGTTCAAGGACCAAAGAAAGTTATATTTCAAAAGTTCATCAAGAAGACTCATCAATACATACTTTACCATGAGAGAATTCCATATAGATGGAATCCCAAATCACATTCACTAACCATGAAAGTCACTGAAAACCTGTGAACTTTACTAGATAAAGCTTTTTCGCTCTCCCCCCCCATCTCCACGTAATCTTGTTGTGTAAGATTCATAGAGATATCCATGCAGGATTTAACCTTTTTAAAAAAAGAAGAAGCACTTTATAATTGCTGTGGAAAGTTTGCATATGCATAGTTTTTCTTCTTTTTGAAAATGAAACTTGTATATGAGACAGTGAAACATGTTTAGGATAAACCTTTATACTTGGAGAACGAATTAATGATACAATACAATAGAGAAAGAACCTTGCATTCTATAAAATAGGTGCTGGGGGGAAAAGAATTGTTTCTATATTCAATTGATCTTTCTACAGCAGGGGTCCCCAAATCCCAGGTGGCAGCCCACATACAGCTCCACTTGTGCAAGTGGTGGGCTCATGCATGTGCACGAAGTTCCATTTGCATGAGCTGTGGGCATGTGTGCGAAGCTCCATTTGTGTGAGCAGCGGGCGCTCACACACACACACACACACACACACACACACACACACACACCACTTGCACAAATGGAGCTGTGTGTACTTGCAGGCGCGCCTGCCCCTCACACAGAACCATTTCCTCTCTCCCACTGCTGGACCACCAAGCTGGAAAGGTTGGGGACTACTATTCTATAGGATCTAAAAGTCTGTCAGCTGTTTTATACATATATCTAGAAACCACTTCTGACCATTTCCAAAATATTTGATCTAGTGACAAATCTGAAGGAGCTTTTAAACATTGATATATGTATACCAGATAATTGATTTTTGAATAAATTCTTTAGAAGACTATTTTAAAAAGCTGTCAGTGATTGGTAGGGAGATTGTAATAGATGGATCTCATCCTCTTCACAAATTAAACCTAAATGCTAGAAATTGTGGTGGTTCTTTGACTCATTTGCCTATAACCAAAAAGGATTTGCACCATGAGTCTAATGTATTTCTCTTTTTACTGCAACTGTTCCTTTGTTGTTTAAAAAACTAAAAGTATAGAATTTGGTTAGGCAGCACACTTAACAACAACCCAATGACTTTACAAACATGTTAAAAGTTATCTGTAAAGAGGCATGATCTCCAGAAGAACAGATTATTTTCAATTAAAAATATTACATCTTTCAAAGGTTCATTCCATTAAAATTCCAACTGTGGTCAAAATATGTATTTCAAGAAAACCAAAATGTAAAATATAATAATAAGTTCTGAAAGCGGTTGTAAACTTTTTGCTGCATTTCATAATTTCAATATATATTTATATATATACACAGTACCATTTTTCAGAGTCTGGAAGACAGGGGCATTGTCTGCTAAAAATTAAAAACAATATATTTTATAATAAATCCAAAGCAATCATTATCAACTGGGGTTAATAAGTGGTACAAGCACATATTAGAATTCTCATCTTACTGATAGGTAGTGCTTGGTAATGTCAGCACATTTAACAAAGTTCTCACAAGTTTACTAAAATCACTGCATAAACAATATTACACTGGTGATCATCTGTAAATTTAAGAGTTCCGTTGTTTGATAAATGGTCTGCATTTCTTTTCACTCAAGCACATTTGCAGCTACGAAATAATGATGGCTTCCCCCCCCCCCCACGTATTTACAGTTCAGCCTTTAAGGTATTTAAATCTGCCCTTCTCAGTTTAAGGCCTTCAGATCACATATTAAGTTCCAGAATAGTCATGCTACATTTCTTGGTTTCTGTTATAGAAGGATAAATGTGTCTGTCTGATACATTTCTTTTTGCATATAGGGAAAGGAAATGATTAAAAACTGTTTCATGACACAGACCAGCTGTGGCTTAAATGTGAAATCAAGCTAGTACCATGAATCTAGAATGCTTTAGTTAAGATGGCATGTTATCTGAACTCAGTATTGCATATACTGACTGGCAGTGACTTTCAGGTTTTTATACATGGCAGCTGAAAATACAACTGGAAATGTCCAGGATGAAGCTGTAACTGACTGCATGCTAAACATGTTTGTAAACACATTTTCTTTTTAGATTTTTTTATCCCACCTTTATAAATAACTCAATAACATACCTAATACTCCTTCCTCCTCTTATTGCCCCACAATAACAACCTTGCGAGGTGGGTTGGGCTGAGAAAGAAAATGACTGGTCCAAAGTCCCCCAGCTGGCTTTCATGGCTAAGGTGGAACTAGTACTTAGTTTCCTGGTTTCTAGTCTGGTGCCTTAACCACTAGACCAAACTGGTTCTCTTATACAGCCCCATCCCAAATGCAAGCTTATATTGTGAACCGAAGTGGAGCAAATATATTCAAAGGATTTAGGCTCAAAATAAAAGGATAAAAACACAAAAATAAGGCCAACTAAAACTAAAGATTAAAAAACCTGAAGATCTCTTATTTCCTTTTTATGGTATCCTGAGTTGTTTTCCTTTAGTCATTTACCACGCATGTAACCCCTCAATAAATAAATATTCCTTACGTTTTATTCCCACTGCTGTTGGAAAACCTGTCCCCTGAAATGTTTAAACCTTGATTGAAAGCAGAAGTCAGTTTACATAATGACACCACTTCTTGAAGAAGCCCACCTTCTTCAAGAATTTCATTTCCATCTTGGGTTTCCCTCTCCCATGGAACGAGGAAAGATGGATTTGGACTCAAGCTTGGTGACTTCTCATCTGCAGAGGTCCTGCTTAGTGTTTCATTCCACTTACTCTTCAGTTGCAAAGTTTGCAGAGAATGTTCCTGCATAGTTTCTTGGGGTGAATCTGGAGATCTTGGATAATTATTAGGCGAAGTCAAGTCATCAGCACTGGAGGTAAGGTTAGGTTTTTCTTTATTTAGCACAAAAACAGATTCTCTATAACTGCTGGAAGGAACATGTTTCCTGGGTGATTGAGGAAGCTTCCTTTCTGTGAGGATGTTGTTATCTTGTCGCTGATTCGAAGTAGCCAGATCAGATGTCCAACCACTACAGAGTAGGGCAAGATTGCTCTCACTTGGAGTGTTGGATTTATTCTGAAATAAAAAAGAGAGTGTGCAGTCTATCAGAATTCTTTCCCTTGGTAACTCTAAATAACAACTTCATTATATTTTTAATCGGGAAAAAAGAGCATACAAAAATTACACTAAATTTTAAAACATCTTAATTAACCTGCCTATTTTTATTCAATTGAATGAATCAAGAATAAATTATGTAACATTTCTTTCCTTTCAGAACAATCTTCCAAATTTTGATTCCTTCTTCTAGCCCCACAAAAATTTTAAATTTGAGTTAATTCAGTTTCAGGATGTAAAGATGTTCTAGGTGGTAAAGAAACTGAAATGAAGACAACTCTTAATGTTGTAAAATTTAGAGGTTCTCTTTATCCTTAATCACAGTATTTTGATCCGATTAGATCTTAGAGATCACAGCAGAAAGAAAGCTACTCAAGCAGGAACAAAAGATCAGCTTCTTATTGACAAGATGATTTTGGAAAACTTTAAGAGAAGGAAGACCAATTTGAATATAGCTTGGATAGATTACAAGAAGGCATTCAACTCCTTGCCACATGATTGGAGGGAAATGGAAGGTACAGAAATGTGAAAGTTTGACAGACAGAAAGACATGCCTAGAAATAACAGGAGTCATTAGAACATCAGAAACATTGTGCAAAGATCAATGGCACAATGGAAGAGACAATTGCTGTTCAATGGTGATAGACTGGGAGAGGTTAATATCATGAAAGGAATCTTTCAAGGAGACTCATTAACATCACTACTGTTTGTCATTGATTGCTCTGTCAACAATACTGAACAAGTCAGGCCACGGTTATCAAACATGAAAAACATCTGCCAGACTATCCCACCTCCTTTACACAAACAATCTGAAGCTGTATGGAAAAACACCATCTGAAACAGAATCGTTGCTCAACTTTGTCCGAATATACAGCCAAGAGACTGTGATGAGTGTGAACCAAGCAATTGTGGCATCCTTACCATCAACAGGGAAAAAACTGTGAAAACCGAATGAATCAATATGCCCTATGGAAATAACATCAAGAGTGGATGAATATCAGTATAAATACCTGGGAATCCCTCAAGATGAAAAGATCAAGAACACTGAAGTCAAGAAGATGATTAGTAATGAATACATTAGAAGAGTGATGAAGAACTTAAAAGTCTAAGCTCAGTGGTGAAAATACCATCAAGGAGATTAATATCTGGACAATTCCAGTTATTAGATATGCAGCTGGAACAATGTGTCAGTTTGAAGCAAGTTGGGCAGCAAACAAAATCAATCAATCAATCAATCAATCAATCAATCAGAAAAGCAGTGACAATGAATCATAGCCCTTCAACTATGCAGTGATGTTGACACTGTATTTACAAAGGAGCATATACGGATATGGAATGTTGCAAGTACACCAGACATTTGAAGAAGAAGAAGAAAGAACACTGGAAGAATATCTGAAGGACAGTAAAGAAGCACTGAAGCTAGTATACCATGAAGACTTACTGAATACCAAAGAAACTAAACTGGCCTATAAGAAAGACCAAATAAAGAAAAGAGAAATGGGAAGGCAAAGTATTACATGGTCAGTATCTAAAAATACTAACAGGCAAAACAGATAATAACATCTGCAAATGGCTAAAAAAAAGGAGTGTTAAAGAAATAGACAGAGGGGCTAATTCTGGCAGCACAAGACCAAGTCTTAAGAACAAATGCATACAAAACCAGAATTAGAAAACAGCATCAGAAAGCAAATGCCGCCTCTGCAAAGAAGCTGAAGAAACAGTGAACCGCCCAGTAAGCTGCTGCAAGAAGTTCGTGCAGACTGACTATTAACAACAACACGACAAAATAGCAGTATTGGTGTATTGGAACATCTGCAAGAAATACCACTTGTTTGAAAGCAAGAACTGGTGGGATCACCAAACAAAGAGTTAAAGTGCTCTGGAACTTTAGAATTCAAACAGGCAAGCATCTGCCACACAACACCCCACACATAAGAATTATCATTAAAAAAGAAAGGAAAAAAAAGTCTGGATAGTGGACATTGCAATAACTGGAGATAGCAGACTAGAAGTAAAAGAACGGGGGCGGGGGGATCACAATGTATAAAGACCTGCTAATAGAAGTAGCATGACTATGACAATAGAAAGCAAAGATAATACTAATAGTAATAGACACCTTGTGTGCAATCCCAAAATATAAGGAGTACCATTTGAACACTATCGACTTCAACAAAATCACCATCAGTCAATTGCAAAAGACCTGAAAAAGCTTTTCTTGGATGAGAAACGTCTTCAAAAAAAAAAAACCCCAAACCCCAGAAAGTCCAGCTGCCTCTTGAAAAAGCACCTTTGGGACAACTATGACGTGGATGACTGAGAATCTCCATAGACAGATAAACAGCATTTACAGTGTATAAATAGAACCATCCCTCCCCATAAGTCAATGCTATTGAGAAACTTAGAAAACAGTAATTCTGTAGGCACAGATATAGTAAATAAATAATTACACTAGTTTGGACTTGGTTTGCTTTTGGAATGTGCTGTTTAACAGAAAAGTGAATCCTGACAAATGGACGAAGGCCATCATTGCTTCCAGATACAAAGGGAAAGATACCATAATGAATTCTGATTGAAACAAGGATAACGAACACATTTTGGAAAGTGCAGTGTGTTTTAGCTTGACAAGGAAAATGTAGACCTAATTTCTGTTCTTTAGCAGATAATCAGAAATGTCTGTTAAATAAACTTGGATTAGGATTTTTGCTATGGAATATGAAGTTGAAAGTTGGTTGCTAAATGTGATCAGAGGGACAGATAATGGAAGTAAAACATTCATGAGAATAAATGGAATCCTTAGCAAATGGTTAACAATTTAGCAGAGTAAAACAGAAATGTGTCATGCCCACCTCAGTTTTTAAATATTATGCATTACTATATGAGGGATCCTTGTCATAAACACAGAAGGGTGCTAGTTGAGGTTATGTGTGCATCTGTAATATGTATATACAATGTATACTTGTACATTGTAAACAATTCTGTGTCAGCTGAGAAATATATTTTTTTTTGCAGCAACTATTAGAATGGATTGCATGATATAACAAGGAATATAGATCTGAAAATCTGTGCATGAAATTAGTTGCATTTGACAGGAAAAATGGAATGAATGATTACAAATTATACATGATTTAATGGATGGAGGAATAAATTATTTTATTGCTGTCTTGGACTATATCAAAACAAAGTACTAAAATTACTTACAATAATTGACATTTACTTAACTATTTGTAAGCAGAGCTTACATAAAATGTAACTCTTGTAATGTTTAAAGGAATAAAATTATATTTATCAGCTAATAATTTGTGCAAATAAATCTTATTAGAATGACCCAGGAATTTAGATTTAAAAAGATGATCAGCTAATTTATACTACCCAGCTTTACTTGAAGATTTTATATATATAGTTTAAATTTTTGACCTGTTGATCAACAACTCTAAGTGGCTTATAAAGAGTTAGAGAGCAAAGAGGGTCAAAAAAATCAGAAGGATATATCAGCCATAAAAGCTAACGCTACATAGAAGTTATTTCAGATTTAAGACAGAGACAAGATAAAGCAACTAACCTTTGACTTATAGTCAATGTCATCCATTGATCGAAAAAAGTCCAAGCTTTTTGCCCCCGAGAGCTTCCCTTGATCGGAACTATGTGTACTCAGTGTATCCAAAATCTCTCCCAGCAGGTCCATTTCTCCATGAGGAACAGACGTTTTGGCTAATTCCCCAGAGTCATCACTGTCATACAAATAGTAAGATGTTTCCTCACTGTCTTCCGATGACAATCTGAAGAAAAATATAAAGTCTTTTCACTACTGTGGTATTTTATGACCATGACAATGAATCTAAATGTTCGTGAAGCTTTAGTTGACAGTTATTACAAAGATCTATTTTGGCAAAATAAGTCTCATAGCGCTTACATTTGTTATGAAAAAAAAACACCATAATTATTTAGCTTTGTGGCTTTGGCCAGCAGCAGTGAGAAATAGCCACTTGTGAAATTCTCTTTTCCAGTAACCTAGGAGGAGGGGGGGGGAGATAAATTATGACCATTTTTGTCTTCAGGTTGGGATGGAAAACAAGGAAATGCTGCAGGGAGATTTTTTTTAGAAAAATGCATACAGTACCTGTAATGCATTGTGACAACGCCTTAGTGTATAGGCTTTTTGTGTGTGAAAATCTCACTTTGGAAAACACAGATCAAGAATGAGCTCTTTCAAAAGCTTGCATTTGCAAGTTCTTTTGACGGGATTTTCAAATCCATGTGGATGGGATTGATTTCATTATGATCTATCTTTCATTATTATTTCCTAAGCTTTTGATAGCTGAAATGTACTTTGTTCGAAATTTAAGAACCGAAAGCCTAGTACATTATTATCGAATATAGTTTTAATTTTAATAGGTTGCCCAGACTTGAAAGGTATGTGGCCTTTGTTTCTTTTTGAACTGCTGCTGTTAATTTATAATTTATCATTTGAAAAAAGCCAAGCAGTAGTCTTGCAGAGGCACCATTTTCTAAGGATTGGGAACTGCTACAGAATATTGCCTTGAGAGCAATATTCTGACTTCATTGAGTCAATATTCAGGTGTAAAAATATATTGCTGTATGTTTCAACCTGGGTGCCCTTTCACATGTGTGGACTTCACTTCCCAAAGCAGTAAGACCACTAACTGACAAGCTGGATTTAAAATCCACACATCTGGAGAGAGCCAAACTGATTAAGGCTAGTATATAGGATTGCATCTAAGTATACTTGGTGCAGACATGCAGGAACAGCAGAAATACCACTAATCAGGAAATCATATACAGATGCAATGGAAAGCCTTTTTTCAGTATATTGTTGCATTCAGAGATAGACAGATATATCCGTGAATGCAACAACACACACACACACACACACACACACACACACACACACACACAAACACACTCAAAATTATAGCAGGTTTTCCCCCCCAAAATATGCTCTTGGATACAGGTTTTGAATTGCTGGTTGACAGAGTGCCTGTACATTATTTTTTCCTATATACATCATATTGTTCCACTTTTATCTTTCAGTCCATCATTTACTTTCTATACTTTCTATCCCAGCTGCAAGTTAATCAATACTTTCAATACAGGAGGTCCTTGACTTAAAACCATTCATTTAGTGGCTGAACAAAATTACAATGGTACTGAAAAAAGTGACTTCTAAACAGCCGTCACACAATCATCACAACATTTCCATGGTCATATGATCAAAATTTGGGTGTTTAGCAATCAGAATGCATTTATGGTGGTTGCGGTATTCCAAAGTCATGTAATCGCCGCTTGCTACCTTCCTAGCCAGCTGGGGCAAGCAAAGTCAATGGAGGAAGCTGGGTTTGCTTAACAACCCCATGATTTACTTAACAACTGTGGTGATTTGCTTAACAATCCTGGCAAAAAGGTCATAAAATTAGGCACAACTCACTTAACAACCATCTTGCTTAACAATGGAAATATTGCTCCCAATTGTGGTTGTAAGTAAAGGACCACCTATACTTTTATTTTTTTTCTTCCTTTTCACAACAAGCAGTATCACTACTAAGTCTGTTTTTCCCTTTTGGTTATTTGTTCTGTTTTCTCCATAATTTAAGGTACTGCTCAGGATTTTTCTTTCTACCTTGCCTCTGAGCGGCACTCAACAGTAATTGAAGGTTTTCCCTCAACTGTGCAATATTTGCTTTGTTGGTTCTTTAGAGTTCTCCCTAAAATTCTCAACTGGTTTTACCAATTGGTCCTGGATGTATAATTCTGTCAATAAACCGTAGCTCAAATCACACCCAAATTAACTTACTTGCTTCCTGGGTCTAGTTCATCATCAGCATCTTCATCCAAGGCAGAGTCATTATTATGCATATTGGTCGGAAAATGCCCAAAGCGTGCCTGAGAAGGGAAACATTCATTTTAGTTGTGGAGAGGTTGGAATTCATGGTCAATCTTCACACAGCCTGCCAAGATCCTGACTGCACTCTTCCCAAGCAAGACTGCCCAGTAATTCAAATCAACTGACAGAGGCTGTTAACCATATGCATCCAGCAGATTTACTACCAAGGTTAGATTCATTCACATGACAACACTTCCGACTATGAAAAGGAGCACACAAAATATATTCAAAATTCCATATTAAAAGATATGTAGATATGCAGTGTCAGAAAATGAAAGGCTATTGAACATGATGTACACTGTGATCAATGACTGCAGGTAGACATGTAACACTCTAGTTGAACTTTCCTAAATTGGAATTATACCCATATCATTTCCTCCCAATGCACTCCATCCCTAAGGGATAAAAATACTTATCTTGGAAAAGTGATGGGAGGGAGGGAGGGAGGGAGGGAGGGAGAGAGGGAGGGAGGGAGAAGGAAGGAAGGAAGGAAGGAAGGAAGGAAGGAAGGAAGGAAGGAAGGAAGGAAGGAAGGAAGGAAGGAAGGAAGGAAGGAAGGAGATACAGCAGGAAAAGAATGAACCTTTTTTTGGTTAAATATTTAAAATGGCTTCCAAAATATTTAGACAATTAATTGAACTTTCCAAACCAATACTTGTTAACTAAAAGGTGGTTGACTAAAGGTAGTCCTTGACTTACAACTACAATTGAGCCAAAAAATTTCCGTTGCTGAGCAAGACAGTTAAAGGAGCTTTGCCCCATTCTACGATCTCTCGTCATAGAACTGTGGTGGCGCAGTGGTTAGAATGCAAGTACTGTAGGATACTTCTGCTGCCAGCTGGTTGCCAGCAATTTGGCAGTTCGAATCTCACTAGCTCAAGATTGACGCAGCCTTCCATTCTTCTGAGGTCGGTAAAATGAGGACCCAGATTGTTGGAGAAAATATGCTGACTCTGTAAATTGCTTAGAGAGGGCTGTAAAGCTCTGTGAAGCAGTATATGTCTAAGTGCTATTGCTATAGTAGTTATGTGAATCATTGTAGCTGCGAAGTTAGTAAAGTGGTTGTTAAGTGAATGTTGCTTCCACATTGACTTTGCAGGTTGGCGAAAGGTGATCACATGACCACAAGACACTGCAGCTGTCATAAATACATGCCAATTTCTAAATGTCCAAATTTTGATCACGAGTCCCCCCCCCATGTTGCAATGGTCACAAGTGTGAAAAACAGTCACAACTTTTTTGAATGCTGCTGCAACTTCAAAAATGAATGGTTGTAAATCAAAGGACTACCTGTATTCATATCATTTATATAAAACATGAAATTTTATAGCAATCACTCACAAGGTACAGTATGTATTTTGACAAGACAATGCACTTTTTAAATTCAGAATCGGTCCAATACTCAAGTATGTATATGTAAACACACACTTTAGTGGAACTACCGAGCTCTAAAAAATTTCAATCCTTACTTATTAAAAGTATTTTCCTTTTATCCATAACAGTGCTCAGGCTGATATATGCATCATGAATTCTTATTAATTTATTCGGCTCCTGATGATTCTATCTCTTAAATTTACCTAAGATAAAATATGTTGGCAGTATTTCTTAAAAAAAAAACACATCACTGTGATATTTAGGATACCGTCTCATGGGATTACTGTTAAATAATGAATTCTGAAAACAATGAATACTTAGTGCATAAATAAGGCAGGGTGGGAAAACACTGATAATTAAATAATCCAGTTCAAGGTGACTAAATTCCATTGGGGTACCATATACTTCTTTTCTTCATTTCTTAAAAAATATCCACAGAAAATTGTGGTGGGCCAATGCTCACTATGCTAATTCATACAGGATAGAAGGTATTTCCAAAGAAAACAACATTTGCAAGAACTTCCCCCATTGTAATTATAGAGATTGTGGTAGCATCATTCATTCTGTTTTCTTTTATAAACTCTGGTTAGCTGGAATGTTACAATCCAGGTACCATCATCTAGTACAAACCTTTGTTCCTGCAAAGCACCTAGACCCAATAAAAAGGTTCTAGAAAATAAGAGAGAGATCTGGCTTAAACCCAGTGGGTTTTTTGGAAGAATGTTTGCCTGTTCAGGAAAAAAAAGGCAAAGATAAATTGGATGGGAAAATCTAAGATATGCTAGAAAGAATGTTTCAGAACAGTTCAATCGTGTACTTCATGGGAAATACATCTATATTTTTAATATACCCATTTTCCTCTACTACCATTGATGCCATTTTGTGAAGAAAAATACCTATAGTAAGGTCTTAAATGAGCCTCCAATTGAAAAATATTGGGAATTATTCGATTGCTCCATTTCTGCCATAGTGAGAACCTTCTTTGTAGACTGATTTGGCATTTCAATTGAACGTTTGCAGATCTGTATTTTTATATAAATATTTATTTAGAGGAAACCGAAACATATCAGACAATCGCTGGGAGATTTTCTTTGCTATTCCCAGACATCAGAAATCAATTACAGTTTAGGTAAAACTGTTTAAAAAACCCTTTTAAAACTGATTTGCTTGCTTCCCTTAATGTTGAAAAAAAATGCACTTTCTGGGGAGGCTACAGACACACTAAAGACCACTCCAAAACCAAACTAAAACCTGTCAATATCAGTGACAGACCCATACCCAATCCTTTGAAAGAGCGTAAGGCTACAATATACAGGGTGATGGTGGTGATGGTAGTAGAAGGTAGTAGTGATAAAATTGGTGGGGCTTGCATTGTTTATGCAGGAAGCACAGGAATATATTCACCTTTTTTTTCTTCCTTCTTGTTACTATGCTAAAACTATTTTATAGCTTACCCTTCTTAAAATATAGATATTTCTTTTATTCAAAATAATAGAAAATTGAGCTGCTAATTTTTGTTCAGCTAAATGGGTGAAAAAAATTATGGGAAGGAGGTAGTTTGATAACAGTATATCTGGAAAAGATATTGGAACAGTGATTGATGTCAAAGAGAATATAATTTAGTAGTATGTCATCACTAAAATGTAAATGCACATTTTGACTACAGCAACAAAAATATAGTCTTACAAATCACTGAACATAATAAGTCCACTTTATTCCGTGTTGGGCAGACCTCCCTTTGAGTATTGGTCCATACTGTATATGGCAAAGCATTTTAAGAAAGATTCAAATAAACAGGGACAGATTCAGAGAAGTCCTATGAAGTGAGGTTGAAGAAACTGGTAATGTTTATTCTTGAAAAGAGTAGACTTTGGGTCAGGACACAATTGCACTTTTCGTTTATCCAAAATCATATAACATCAGTATGAGGTACAGAGTAATGGATGTAAGTTACAAAAGGGCACATTCTGATTGAAAAACAAATGCTAATGGTAAAAGTAGTAAAACAATATAATCAATTACTCAGGCAATGGATTCACTTCTACTGGATACTTCCTACCAAGAGGCAGACGATCATCTGCATGGAAGTTATAATTTGGATTCTTGCATTCAGCCACACATTGGACTGGATGGCCTAAATTGCACCTTCCAACTTTGTTTCTATGTTTTAACTCAGGTATTCAAGGACCAGCTTACAACTCCTTTGCTTCCTAAATTCCAGTTGCTCCTCAGAATTATTGCTTGTACGATGAATGAGCAGGTCCCCAGAGCTTCTAAATCATCTTGTAAAGGTATTGCACACTTTCTTCTAATGTCCAGGGTGAAAATTGACCAAGTTTAAAGGAAGAAATTAAAAACACATGGAAACAAACTAAGGTGCTTTTCAGTACTAATGAAAGTGAAAATGAAATCAAAGACAAATGTTCTGGCTAAGCTCAATTTTCAGTATGCAGAGGCCATGGCTGAGATGTAGGCAAGAGAGATGATTTCTGTCACTTATCATCAGTGATATAATAGACAGTATGCAATAGATATCAGTTACAGATAATCTGCACCTCAAATTTTAAAGGTTATTTTCTTATAAAATGATAAGAAATGGAGGAGGGGGAAGATACTCAAAGCTTAATAAATGCCAAAAGGAGAGAAACTGAATGCACACCTGAAAAATTTGTCAGTTATTTATAGTAACGTTTTATTGATGTTCCCTGCTGTTTGCAGATATTCAGCCTTTTAATTTCTGTCTTTACTTCATTTTCAAATGTGTACATTTCTCCCCTGCCAATTTTGGGGAAGAAAGGGGGAGAGCGGAAGAGAAGTGGACTTCTGTTTCCTTGTTGATTAGTATTCTAATAATAACCAGATCTCTTCTCTTTACTTAAGCAAGAATGGAAAATACAGCATTTGCTTCAAGAACTACAAATGTTTTAACAAGGTCTTCATTTCCTTGATGCTTGGCAAATGGATGCCACAAATTGATTTTTCCACTATAAATAGGTAACTATTGCCATGTTATTACAATTATCACATTTTTATGTAGAAAAAGGAGAAATCCCCACAATTGCAGAATTCAGTTCCTTCAAAAATGTCAGTATCCAAATCAGTTATAACTTCTGGAAGAGTAATAAAATATTCTTCTTTTTCCCACACTTAAAGGATAGAATTCATTTTGATTGTTGATCTTAATAGTGAGATTTTGTTTTATTTTTAGTCATATGTGTGATCTCAGAAGATATGGAACAAAAACTGGATAAAGTTTTTGCAACTGCCAAAGAAGAATTTTTTGTAATGTGAAAGCATGAACTGATCCTAGGACTAATTATAGGTGTTTCTTTTTTTGAGCAGTCATTTTCTAGAGAGGAAAAATTAAGGCTGCACTTTGCTTGCTTTATCTCTATGATAAAATAGTGTGTTTATTAGCATTGGACTATTCCTACAGAATTAGAGTTATTTATCTTTTTGATTTATAAACAACTAAGTTTCTAAAATTGGCTAAAATGAAAGGAAATCCTCTTAAAATGTTATTTTTATAAGAAAAAGCAGAAATTAACATTAGTGGACTTAATTCATAAAAGTGGAAAGTAACTGACATATTCATTTCTTATACTGAACTGCAAAAACTTTTGGA